GCCCGGGGGTTTTAGCCCTCTTGGGTGAGGAGAATTCGGTCTTCGCTCTTCCCCTTTTTGGTCACTGTGACAGTGTCCCCAGCTTTCTTCCCCTTTCTCAAGCGAGGGTGAAGGGGGATGAGCCTGATTTTCTGCAAATACGTTCTGCCTCGCAAGCTGCCGGTGTCACTGTGCATGTGTTAGGCCACAACCTATGCATGAAGAAAGAGCAGTAAAAAAAATGTCCAGAAGCCACATGTGTTGTTTGCGTTTCTACCCTCGGATGGGACATGGGGCACATTGCAATAAGTTTCCCTGTCAGCGAAAACTCAGTAATTCTCTCATGGTTCTCCACTGCAAAAACCCTTGCACAGGTCACTACTTTTGGACTTTGCTTGTTGAGCTTTCTTATTAACAGTGGTCAGCTGAAACAACACAGGATGGGAATCGTTATTTATTTTTTTTCTTTGTTTACCAAGCAGTTCAATGGCACCCAGAAAGAAGTTACAGGGTCTCGTAGCAGCTACGATCACTCCGATGACTCCTGATGGGTAAGTATTAGTCTGCATCGCAGTCTTTGCATGGTCAAAATTGCACTGTCAGCTGTTATCATGAAACCTTATTTTTCTGCTTCCTTTTACAGAACTGATGGTTGTTTGGTTTTATTTTTCAATTATCTCTCTGATGAATTTACCCTTTCAGTTTTGGTGGATAGTATAGAGCTTAGAGTGTACTTCTGTAACTAACGATTTAAAAAGCTAATCCTCTTCCATAAAGCCATAAAAGCATGAGGTTAATTTTGAAGCCAAACCATCCGTCCCGTGAAAGAAGGGCTAAGTAGGATGTGAAAGGACCAGGTCAGTCCCACTAGCACTAGTGGGTTCCCTTCACCTCTGCAGCCTCTGGTCTCTCAGCGAGTGCTCCCAGGAAGATCTGGGGTGAGAAGTGTTGGGTCAGTCTTAAGTCTTTTTCTACTACTTTTCTAGGTGCAAACAAAACTGTGGTAAGATTATATGCACATTGTAATATTTTCAAGCTTTCTAAGATATATTATAGTTCAATCACAAAGTAAAATCACAAATCACAAAATAAAAAGAGCACTTGAGATCTAGGAAACAAATGTCTAAGTCTGATGTCCAATTACACTTCTCTTGGCCCTAAGTCATGCACATTTTCATGTGTATATATGTGTGCAATGATCAGTTTAAGCAAGAAAACATTGCAAGACTTGCAAGTTTTGAAAATGATGGCAGGCAAATCAAAAGTTGAAATTCAGCCTTCCTCAAGGAAACGTTGATTAAAAGATTTCTTCCATACTGCATTTTGATGTTGCAAGATTGAGGTGTTGCAGTTTGCAAAGGACTCTGAAATATTCTGATAGAAGATAAGCCAAGAGCTCAACAAGTATTTGAGGGAGATGATGGAGATTTGCTAATGTGCTCCTTTAAAAGCGAGCCTTTTCCTTTGATAGGTTTGTAAAGCAAGTACTATATCAGTCAGAGAACTCATTTGCATTACAGTCAATGCTTAATTTTATGCTTTAAAGGAAACTTATTTCTAATTTTCTTTTTTATTACTACTTGAGCTTATTGAAACACAACATTTGGAGGATGGTCTGGTCCCTCTGCTGGGAAATGCACCATCATGGCCAGATAGATCCTACGAGAGCAGCTATGAAATTTCAGGTTATGTGTGAACCCAGTAAAGGTCTCAGAATTGACTTCCAGACCATACCGTTGCTGTGCATGTTTGGCAATTTAGAACAACAATGAATATTAATCGCTGATAAAGTAAGTTTGCTCTGGAGAGGAGATAAACTGAGAATCCTAGTTTCCCTGTTTGTCATGGAAGTCTGTTTCTTTCCTCATCCTTTTTAACAAGAGGTCAAAGTCACATCTACCAGATACCATTTTGTAGTCTGTATCCTGCAATGAGGAAAGCTTATCTCTTTTCCAGCACTTCACAAACACCACTGTGCTCTCAAGAGCACTCTTGTTTCCCTAATACTCCAAAAGTCTTGAGTGCCTCATAATCTCCCATCTCTCCTCAAAAACGCCTTTTGCTATGACAAGCCTTCACTAATTATCAGGTGAAATAACATTGGAACAGCAAAAATTTGTCAAGAGAAAGAGGAACTGGAGGAAAGTACGTGAGTTGTTAACTCATGCTGAGGGTATCATATCTCAGAGATATCCATGTATGTATAAGTGTAAGGCTTCAAAAATACCTAAGATTTCTGTGGGTAGAGACTTACAGTAGCTGAGGTTCCTAAGCTTCTTTTTCTTTCAGACAAATTAACCTCCTGGTGATTCGTCAATATGTGGATTATTTGGTAAGCAAGCAGAATGTGAAGAACATTTTTGGTAAGTTTTTTTTTTTCTTTTTGAAAAAAAAAAGAAGAGTTTTATCCTTTGGATACCAGTGCTGTCATAGCTTGCCTGGGAAGAGCTGTAATGGGAAGCTCTGTTGATGTGGGATTATAATAGATGTTTGATTCACAGTAGAAAGAGCGTAAGCAATATTTCGGGGATCTGCTTTTGCCCAATCCTCATTAGTATGCAGACTAAAATCTGAAAGTGAACTGGGGGAAAAATATTTCTGTTTAATATCATAAAAATGTCAATAAGTGTCTTCAGTAAAACCAGTGCATGTAGGGGCAGTCTCAGCAAGCGTGTTGTGTTTTATTGAAACAGTGAATGGCACAACAGGAGAAGGCCTGGCCCTCAGTGTCCAGGAGAGGAAGCAGCTGGCAGAAGAGTGGATGCACCAAGGAAAAGACAAGTGAGTAGCTGAGAGGGAACAGGAAATCCCAGAGTTCAGGTTATGATATAGACATCCCTGAGTGAAAAGCCACATATGTTTGCTGGTGACTTTTCCTGGAGTGTTTTGTTGTTGGGGTTTGTTTGTAGAAGAATGTCCTTTATAGAAGGTCCTTTATAGAAGAATGCATCTTTGTCGCTGACAGGTAGCTGGTATCTATTTCCACTGCTTAGAAAGTTGTAGGAGTCCTCCTCTCTTGGTACACTGTGGAGCTGGAGGGAAAAAAAAAGAACTCTGGACTGTGTGCTTTTCTTATTCTTGAGAAGAAATGAAAGAAAAAAAAAAAGAGTTCTGCCTGTTTAAAGCCCTGTGAGCATTTCAGAACCTTTTAATACAGTCACTGAATGATTTGATATGGGAGAAGCTGAGGTGCAAAGTGTTTAAGTGCTTCCCTGAAGATGCAGAATCCACAGCAGAGGGAGGAATTCAACCCACTTCTTCTGAGACTAACTGTGTATCTGATACAGGTCTACTTTCCCCCTCACCCCAGTACCTGTCAGAGTCCTATTTTACTCAGCCCTGTTTCCTCTTAGAGAGGAGGAGGTGTTTTGGGGTGGGAGGTACAGTGAGAGAAAATAAACTGGTGTGAAGACTCCCACCAGTTTACTGTGTGGAAGTAAAGCAGAAACACAGAAATGGAACTGATTAACTGGAAGTTGGGAAATTATGTTGAATGGAGCAGGCAAACAGTTAAAGATGATGCCATGAGGCTGTTGTGCTCCTCAATTCTGCAAAGCCATGGCTTCAGAAAGCAATATGCTTTAATATTCTTTAGCCTTCCCAGCTCCATATAAATCTTCACATCTAATAAAATACTAAGATTTTTCACTCCTGATGGCCTTGCAAATATGACAGGAAACACTAATACATGATTTATTTTGCAAATGTGCTTTTTTTTTCTCACTACTAGTTGCTTGCCAATGTAGACATTTTCTCCATGTGTTTGTTCCTCAAGTCAGCACAGGTTTAAATCCTTCTCCGTATTAATTTAGCTCAGTAATGCTCTTGTTTTGTGGCTCCCCGATCTGAATGGATTCATTTTATAAGTCTGGTATTTTTCACCATCAGTGAAGTTTACCAACATCTTCTGGTTTTGTTCTTACGCAGATTGGATCACGTGATCATTCATGTGGGAGCGCTGAGTCTGCCGGAGTCCCAAGAGCTGGTGTGTGGATGATGTAATTCCTTATCAGTGTGTGGAATAAATGTAAAGCGGATGTACCTTCAGGTATCTTGTCTTTTATAGGCAAGACATGCAGCTGCCATAGGTGCAAGTGGTATTGCCGTAATAGCCCCTTTCTTCTTCAAACCCACAAACAAAGGTGAGTGATGTGATTGTTAGACCTGGTCAAGCCATTAGCAGCATTTTCTGGAAAAAAGAGCTCATGTGCTCTGAGGAGCAGTGATGACAGTGCTGTTTCTTGTGGAGCAAGTGTTGCCGTACCTTAGGTCTTAGGAGGGTTAGCATCGCTTGGGTCTGTGCATCTCCTGTTACCCCAAAACTTCTAGTATTGAGTATTTTGCTTTTAACATAATAAGCATAATATGAAGGAACCAAATGATGTGGAACATTGTGACAGAAATGTTCTAAGATTAGTCTGAATGAAAAGGTGCATATGAAAGTTCCCAAGAAATAGGAGAGAATGCATTGCAAGAATGGCCTGTACTCAGCCAAGGGCACAATAAGCAGCAATCAAGCTGGTAAATGCTGAGGAATAATGAGAAGATGACAGAAGACCTTTGCTGTGACAACAGTAGAAAGGTAAAAAGATTTCAACACATTGCTTTTGCCATTCTTCTTCCTGCTGTGCCAGCAGGAAGATAGACCATTGTCCAAGGTTTGTAGAGGATGCAGTGAACAAGGTTCTGAGGAAGAAGATCAACCATAATAACTCTTCGCTTCTTAAAAAGTTTACTGTTCTGTGACTGTGCACTGTGATGCTGAAATGTACAAGTCAGTGAAATGGCATCTCCACAGACTGTGACTGCTGTGAGTCTGAACTGCCTTTCACCAGGGATAGTCTCCTCCTCTTATGGGGCTGCTTGGTTGCTTTCTTCCAGATGAGCTGATTGCTTTCTTACGGGAAGTCGCAGCCGAAGCCCCTGCTGTTCCATTTTACTACTATCATATTCCCCCTCTGACAGGTGTAAAGAGTAAGTACTGCTTGCTTTGCTCTTCCTGAGGCAGTAGACTCTTAGCAGCCTGAATAAACTCAGTGGCTGAGTTCTGTAAGACTCACTGTTCAGGAGAGGAATAAGGAATAGCAAATGTAACCTGTTAACTAAGATACGGGGTGCTTTTGGATGTATGAGTCTGTATTTATTCTTAAGTAAATTGTTGCCAGTTCATTCACAAATTTTCACTTCTCTGGGTTCTTTTCCTTCTGATTTGGAAAAAGGAATACTGAGGGAGGATGGAAAGAGAACTGTGATGTAATTTGGGGCAAAATGACATTAAAATTATTTTACTGGTTGCTTTACATAGTTTACCAGGCTTATGCCAACAGAGAGTAACTTGTAAAAATATTAAGTCTCTCTCTGCCCCCTTGGGAAGAGGCAGGGAAGTTTCACAGGATGAGGATGTGTTTCTTCATATGAGATTGCTCTTCTGCACAGTTCATGTTGAAGAGTTGCTGGATGGGATAAAAGAGCAGATCCCAACCTTCCAGGGTGTGAAGTTCAGCGACACGGACCTCTTGGACCTTGCACAGTGTATAAACAAGAACAGCAGAGAAGAGTTTGTTTTTCTTTATGGGGTGGATGAGGTAAGAGGTTCCTCTTAATAATGATTTTTTTTTCTTAAGGCATTCTCTTGCTTCAGCCTGGAAAAAAAAAGTAGTGTTGGACACCGAGTGCCAGAAGTTTTGCTGTTTCTTCTCCTTTTTAGAAAGTTTGCTATACAAAGTAAAAATATTCTTTCTCCCTTCTCCCATCCCAAACTAGCAACTGCTGAGTGCACTGGCAATAGGGGCAGATGGAGCAGTTGGAAGGTCAGTATGTCTTGGACTCCTTTTCCACTTCCCACAAACACTTTTCTGATGTATCTGCCACACACTGCATAGGATTTTTCTACTTCTATCATAGCAGTGGGGGCTTTTGCAGGATAAGGCTGCACAGTACAGAGCAGCCTGATGACCTAGCTTAAGTGCCAGGAATGGCACCATTGTGTAACCTGGACCTCAGAGTGTACCAGTTTGGGTGATTCTTGCTGCAGTCTGTAAGGTGGCCCAAGGGTTATTACGTGTTTTTTTTTTTATCCTCACAGCACCTTCCTGAAATAGGGAATTTCTTTATCTTCATTGTATGGCAAGGAATCAAAGCCCAGGGAGACTAAATCTCTGCCTTTTTCACTCTGTGAGAAACAGGGCTCTAGAACCAATTTCTAAATTTTTTCTCCTACATGCTGGGCTGCTTAGATGAATTATTGTATTTTTTTTCTCTTGTGTAGACAATCCATTAAATGAACAGTAAACTAGAAAATCGATTGTCCTTCTGTATTGCCTAATTGTTTTATTATTATTGTTGTTGAAAAGCAGTTCCATTTGGGAAGAAATAGGGAGAGAAATCCAAGCTTTGAATGGCTTTTTTAGGGCTTGGCATACTTATGATGCCTGTCACTCTAAACACATGCACTGGACTGCATGAAGCTCTGTCACAGTGCATTCTGATAATATTAAGACAGAAGACCTGTGGGCTACTTTTTCTGTTTCAGTGGTTCTTCCAAGCCTCCCTTGCATCTGCCGATCTTATTTATTTATTTTTCAGTACATACAACTACTTGGGCCAGAAGAACAACATGATGTTGCAAGCTTTTGCACGGCATGACCTTTCATTAGCACGGAAGTATCAGGTACAGGTTACCTTTTTCCCTGAACAGCTCCGCAGTGGCCACATGCCATGATTCTGAGGATACCTTGTATGAGGGGGATGCAGAAAGCTGTTGCTAGTCAGTTCTGGCTTGCCCTTTTTTCATCCTAGCCTGTTTCATGATTCGTGAGAGGTTCTGGGTAGGCAGTATAAAAACTGTACCCAATATCTGCATCTTCCACTGGGACATAAGATATCCCTCTTTTGTCTTAAAAGAGAAGTGACTGTAGGATGAAACTGTAATAGTAAAGGATGGTCTGCTTTAGAAACCTCTTTGTCAGGCAGTGGAAATTGAGATTTACTAACCTCTACAGCCTGATATGAGACTTATCAGTATTCCCAGACAGCTGCAGGGACAGGTTGAACAGCAGTGATATTTTGAGGGGAGTGATGGTTTTCTTAGATCCTTCTCTCTCTTCCCTGTTTCAATGGAATAGAACTAATATTTCCCATAGACTGGCCAGGTTTCCCAAAGCTATGCCCCAGTTGTATAAAATGTAAATACCATAATGCTTGTATGTCTTACAAACATGACTGAGTGAATAAAGGGCTGTCTGTCTTTTGTAGTTTCTCACTGGTGAATTTCTTAACTTTGTCATCAAACTAGGTAAGTCCAACACTGTCCATGTCATTTGTTATATTAAAAAGTAGATTCAGTGTTCCGGAAAGCCTCATGGTGCTGAATTTCCTTCCTGATAGATTTCACGAGAGAATGTTGCACATGGTATTTCCTGAGTTAGTAGCAGCTGGGAATTGAACAAAGGGAAGGCAACAAAGGAAAGCCTCCCCAAAAGATTCCACTCTCCCTTCCTTCTACTGTGAAGTTTTACATCTTAAAATATTTTTTCTGTAATTTATCTTTTTACCTTTCTGTTATCCTGACTCTTCTTGTGTGTGTTTTTATTATTATGTCTTCAAATGCCCATTTCTGGCTTCTTTTCTTTGAGAGTCATTGACCTCAAATGATGGTGACCCAGCAGGAAAAAGCAGCTCTGATGCTTGTCTCCTGTTTTTATATATTTTAAAAATAACTCTGCTCAATTCTGTACAATGAGAATAAAGACAAAACACTTTGAAATAGAATGATTTGATAGAAGAAAAAGCAATTTTTAATACAAAAAGCAGTAAGACCAACAAAGCTGGAGTGTTGTAGGGAGACTGATTTAATGCTTTGTGGTTTGCACACTGTGTTAACTGTGCTTTTGCTATACGTGCTGCATGTGAGCTGCAAAGAACCTGTATGAATCTGAGTTAAATGATCTGTAAATTACCTGCTTTCTCTTTTGTCTGCTCAGGTTTCGGTGTTGCTCAGACTAAAGCGGTAATGACTTTTGTTTCTGGCATTCCTATGGGACCGCCACGTTTTCCACTTGCTAAGGCCTCGGAGGAGTTCATCGCCAAGGCCAAAGCCAAGCTGAACAGCATTGTCTGGCCTACCGACTGATTTCACTTCCATGGGGATTTTCCCCATGGACAGTGAATCCCTTTTCTGGGTCTCACTACCAGCTGGCACACTCCCCATGTGACAGGCTGGTTTAGCTGTGACACTCTTCAGGGAATTTGCAGGGTGCCTGAGTCCCTTCCTGTTAGGGCTGATCTTGTTGGCACGCATCTAGCTGTCTTTTCATTTAACCTTATACATCTCCCTGGATTCCTGCACACCGCAGGATGAGCTGTTACATCTAAAATAAGGACATTTTCCTGGCTCCTTCTGCACAGAAAACAAGATCTATCTCTACCCTCCACTACTCCCACACACTTTGTTCTCCTCCTTCACCTGCATCTCCAGCACTGCCCTATGCTTTGTATACACCAGTATGACACCGTCTGCTTGCTCAGACTGGTATTTTACTCTGTCATGAAATCCTAGTCCATTATCGGCAGTAACAAGGAATCTGTTGCTTTGGGGCACTGTCTACTCTGGTTAAATCCTGTTTTTTATCCTTTTTCATTGTCTTAGTGCACCTTCATTTAATGCAAAATTTAAAGAAACTTTTGTAATTTGAGCTTTTGGCCTACTAATGAATGGATATTTCTTTATCTTTCTCCTTGCAATGAAACTGAATCTAGAATTGAACTGTAAGGCTCTGTATGCAAATGCTATGCAAAATATACTGTATTACATGATTTGGAGAGCATCTATGATCAGATTAAGGTCCTGTTTTGCACCCTGTACCTGTCCCTCTCCCCTGGTCTTAACCCTTCTCTTCTGAGAGTATTTGTATTTTGCGAATTTAAGTGCCCATGCTCTCTACTGCTCAGGCTGTAAGGTGTGATGGCGCCCTCACAAGCAAAAGTGATTGCAGTGCACAAGGGTATGTGGAAGGGGAGGAGAAGAGGCAGGGAAACATGGAGCTCTGGTTCTGAACTTTTCATAACCCAGTGTGTGAAATATTCTACTAATTTCCTTCTAATTTATAATTCTGTGCGGAAAATCTCGCTGTCAAGAACTGAATGTCCAAAAGGAGACAGAGGAGTCCTAAAACTTTATTCGAATAAAGGGAGAGTCCACCGGGCATATCCCTGTGGGGTCTCTCAAGTTTGCTGGGGGACGCAGCCCCGCTTTTATCCTAATTTCCCGACCGAGGGACGCCCTCTCCTTTTCCCCATTGGCCAAGGTACTCAGAAGTTACAGCCTTCCCGGCCCGCCTACACCGAACTCCGGCCTCCCGCCATCTGTTCTCACCTGAGCTCACCAACTCCTTTGTCCCCCTTGCTGAAGAATGTGGGGCAATTGCCCTATTTCCCTTCTTTGTAAAGGCCCCATCTCCTTGCAGATGGCTCCTTTTGTCCTTCTGGGCTCATGGCTCCACTCAGTCTCCCCTCCCTTTGTCCTGCTCTTCAGCCAAACTGTGGAGAAACCCCCTTATTGATTAATACAAAAACTTGAGCATTCCGCTCAATTCCATAATAAATTCAGACTAGTACAGGTTCCCTCTGTTCCCCCCAGCTCTGAATTTGTAAAAAATTTAGAGAAGCTTTTCCCACTTCTCAGACTTGGGAAGAGAGCTATCTCACCATGGATGCTGCAGCTCTGGTAGCTCATGGTCTAACTGTTGCTTAGAAAAAAACACAACCATGAACATAAAACAATAACTGATTTTTAGTCTTTTTTCTAACATCTCCACTAAGACACTAAATATTTTTATTGAAATTCTAGTGCTGCAATTTCCTGATTATTTTAGTATGTGATACAGGAATTAATGACACCTAGATAAGACATTTTTAAAATATTGTTTTCTAACAGATCCAAATTATTTTGGTTCAACAATTTGTATACTCATCTGTCACTATCAATTCTCAAAAACCTTTTGGTCATTTTTTGACTTCTGTATTCAATATTGATTATAAAATGTTTTAAATGCTTGCATTGCTGTTTCCTTTATCTCTTGTGGAAAATGCTGTTGCTGAGGCTGTAGGGGAGCAGTGCGGGAAGCTGAACTCTAGCCTCGTGGGCTGTTTTTGCACAAGTCATCAGGACTTCATGGTCGGATAACACATAAACGGGCGTACTAGAACAGCAGAGAGTCAATTATTTTTAGAGGTTGGGGTGAGGAAAGGTTTGTCTGCTGCTTTTGCTCCTGGCTGCCAGCCCAGCCTTCCCTCAATCTTAAAGCTTTTCACTAATCGCCTCAGCACTTTACAAGGTCCGTCTTCGAGTCGTGGTGCTGTTGTCCCCATAAGGTGCTGGATTTTTGTGGAGCTCCTGGAGCTGTTTTTGGCATCCAGCTTTTCCTGGCGCAGGAAAACTGCGGGCTTAAGGCGCCCTTTGGCGCGTGCGCTCTCTTGTCCCGCCGCGGCCTCCGTC